CAGTCTGGGGCAGTCTGGGGCAGTTGGGTCAGTTGGGTCAGTTGGGTCAGTTGCTGGCCCAGTTGCTCCGCCCACCCGTCTCAGTTGCTCCGCCCGCCCCCCGGCCCCCTTGGCAGTCTGGGGCAGTTTGGGGCAGTCTGGGGCAGTCTGGGGCCTGTCTGGGGCCAGTCTGGGGCAGTCTGGGGCAGTCTGAGGCAGTCTGGGGCAGTCTGGGGCAGTCTGGGCCAGTTGGGGCCCTCTGGGGCAGCCTGGGGCAGTGTGGGGCAGTCTGGGGCAGTCTGGGGCAGTCTGGGTCAGTTGGGTCAGTTGGGTCAGTTGCTGGCCCAGTTGCTCCGCCCACCCGTCTCAGCTGCTCCGCTCGCCCCCGGCCCCCTTGGCAGTCTGGGGCAGTCTGGGACAGTCTGGGGCAGTCTGGGACAGTCTGGGGCAGTCTGGGGCAGTCTGGGGCAGTCTGGGGCACTCTGGGGCAGTCTGGGCCAGTCTGGGGCAGTCTGGGGCAGTCTGGGACAGTGGGGCAGTTGGGGCGGTCTGGGGCAGTGTGGGGCAGTCTCTGGGGCAGTGTGGGGCAGTCTGGGTCAGTTGGGTCAGTTGGGTCAGTTGGGTCAGTTGCTGGCCCAGTTGCTCCGCCCACCCGTCTCAGTTGCTCCGTCCGCCCCGCGGCCCCCTAGGCGCCGCCGGGGGCGGTCTCAGTTGCAACTGGGGTGGTTTCAGTTGCTCCGCCAATTGCTTCCGGAAGGGTCCGCGTCGAGGCTCCGCACCCACTTCAGCACACCCCTCACGCGTTTCGTTGCCTCATTCGGGGCTTCACCGAAGGCCTCAGCGGCAGGGCCCGCATGGTGGCCCCACATTCATGTTGGTACACCCTAACCCGTTCCGTGGCCCCACAGGGACCCGCCCCTGCTTTGTCCCACCTGCCTTGCGGCACTCGCACCCGCATATGGTTGTGTCCTGCGCCAGGAGTTTGCTTCGATCATTGTCGTGTACTCTTTTTTTTGTTTCTCTCTCTCTCTCTCTCCTTCTTCCTTGCTTCCCCTGCGCACGCACGCTTTTTTTCCCAACCATCCTGTGGTGTTGGGTCCTCGTTTTGAGGAGACGGTCCCCGCGTTCCCTCCTTCCTCCTCCCCCGCCCCCCTCGACCGCCCGCATGCGTCACAGAGAGCTCCACCGAGGCTGCCTTCTCATTCCCCCATGGTTCCCATTCGCACAGCCATCACACGCGTCGCGGCTCCATAGGGAGCTCCATCGACGGCCCCAATGGCTGCGTTCGCATGCGCCCACCGCACCTATTTCGGCACACCTCTCACGCGCTTCGTGGCCCCATTGGGAATTCCACCGTCGGCCCCAGTGGCTGCTATCGCATGCGCCCACCGGACCCATTCCGGCACACCCCTCACACGTTTCGTGACCCTATAGGGAGCTCCTTCGAATGCGGTGCATACAACGACGGTGCTCACAACTGCATATGCATATGGTTGGGTCCTTCGCCATTTGTTATGATGTACTGGTATTATTTGTATTGGTAGGATTGTTATGCTTATTGTTGTCTCTCTCTCTCTCTCTCTCCCTCTCGCGAGAACAGTCAAGGGATAGTCGTCTTTGTCGTCCTCCTGTTCCTCCCCCTCTTCCCTCTCGTCCTCTGCGTCCTCTGGGTACTCCTGCTGCGTGTACTCCTCTTAAGCTATCCGCCTCCTCGTTATCATCTGCCATCTCCTCGCCACCAGACTCCTCCTTCTCCTCCTCCTCCTCCTCCTCCTCCTCCTCCGCCTCCTCTCCTACGGGCGTTCCTCCTTCTCCTCCTCCCCCCCTCCCCCTACCACTCCATGGAAGGGGGCTTCCTGGCTGTTTTGGGGGTTGTCTTGGGCTTCTGTGGGGCCCTCTCGGGGCCCTCTGGGGACTCTCGGTGGCCGTCTTGGGCTCTCTTGGGCCGTCTTGGGCCTCTCTCGGCCATCTGGGGAGTCTCTTGGGGCTGTCTTGGGGGCCCCTTGGGGCCCTCTGGGCCCCTCTTGGGTCATCTTGGGGCTCTCGTGGGGCTCTCCGCCTGCTGGGCTGTTTGGAGCTCTCATGTGGCTTTTGTGGCCTCTCCTTGGTGTCTCCTGCGCCTCCTAAGAACCGTCTTGAACAAAGAGACACCGGACACGCAACACATTCCCGAACCAGTGGGGTTCCTATGGTTTTTTCGCGTGTTTGCTTTGCCTGCCTGGAGGGCCTCTTGTTTTCCCCTTGTGTCTTGAAAGCCTCTTGGGACACTTCTGGCGCCTCTTGGGATCTTCTTGGGGGCTGTTGGGTCCTTCCAGAATGCAGCGTGAGAGCGGTGCACGCGAGGAAGCGTTGGGAGGGGGGGGGCCCTTACACTGTTTACAGACGTCCCGCCAGGCAGTACTGGGCGTTGGGCCGCGCCTCAACGTGCGATGGGCACATCGGCGGATGATCACGTGTCGTCCTCCTCCAGGAGGCGGAGGATGATGAGGAGCGGGGGGAGCGGAGGTGTAGCCATTCTTCTGAGGCTCTCGCTGGGTTCGCCCGCAGGTAGGGAAGATGCTGGAGAACGACGATTAGATGGCTATGGTAACGACGATGGTGACGGTTGTAATGGAGATGGTGGTCATGATGAGGAGCCAGAGGAAGAAAATCGTAAGGAGGACGTTGGACCATTCGCATCGTTGGTGCGACGTGTTTCGTTGCTGCATGTCGCAGCAGCCGTTGCGGGCTCATGGATCCGACGAGGTGGTCCCCCGTCTCCCGGGCTGCCTCCCATGGATCTTGAAAAGGGGGCGGAGAAGGACCAGAGTGGGGCCAAGCTGCATCAACAATGTAGCGATACACCCTCCCGTCCTACGTCCCTTCCTCATTAGTTCCTCCAGAATTCCTCTATGCTGCCTGAAGCGCCCCCCTTGAAAGACGAGCGCCCCGGTGGTCCACAGTTCAAGCGGAGCCCTGCCTTAGCAGAACGTGATACACCCATCCGAAATCGTAAGAATCAGCGTCACCTTTCGTGGACTCCAGAATCCGTTCCAGAAAATCAGCAATCTGGACTGGACCCTGGGCGTTCTCTTGGAGCCCCTCTGCTTCGCAGACTCTTCGTAGATGTGGGCCTGGACTGCTGGCTAAGGAGATACGCTTCGGGTGAAGTCATTGTTCTAAAAATTGTCATGCAAGGTCTTAGCTGCGCTGATACGCCCGCTTTGAAACGCAACATGTGCCAAGGGCGCCCTCGAGGGCGCGAAGTTATTCGCGCTTCGCGCTTCGCGGTTCGGCTCCGATTCCTCCTCATCCTCCTCTTCTCCCCTTGGAGGCGGCGCGAGAGCGCGAAGTTATTCGCACTTCGCGCTTCGCGCAGCGCGAAGCGCGAAATTGGGAGCCCTTGGCTCGGCACGTGCTGGCCCACGTCCTGTCGCGCGCGTCGCGCCAGACCTGCGCTCCCAGTCCGTGTGCTGCGCCGCGCGTCAACACGATGCGTGCTGCGTGCTGCGCGTCGGGGCAGCCACGGCAGGTTCTTGCGGCGATGGCGCGCCGGCGACGCCAGCAAAGGCGTTCGAGGTTGAGTTCTGCGACGCGGAAGCGCCGAGGGATGCGGTAACGTCACGGGGCCCGGCCGGATTCAACCTTGCACGATCGGGGCCGCGATCGATTCAAGGATGTACGATCGATGCGGTGTCAAAAACCTGTGCGCGCGCCGACGCCGCGCGAACCTGCCGTAGGGTTAGGTCGGGCATGTCCCTCTACAGGAGGGCTTTGGGCGAAAAATATTGAACACCAAGAAATACACCAAAGTAGCAAACAAATGCTCAAAACATGGTTCCCAGAGTATGTTTGGACTCTTTCTGTGTTCCTCCTACAGAGAGACAGGCCCGACTTCACCGTAGGGCCCGCGTGACCCCCCCGACGACGGACGGCCCCTCCGCCCCTCCAGAGGAGGAGGAGCAGGAGGGACGGGGGGAGGAGGAGGAGGAGGAGGAGGAGGAGGAGGAGGAGGAGGAGGAGGAGGAGGAGGAGGAGGCGGAGGCGGAGGGAGGCGGAGGCGGAGGCGGAGGCGGAGGAGGAGGAGGAGGAGGAGGAGGAGGAGGAGGAGAAGGAGGAGGAGGAGGAGGAGGAGGAGGAGGAGGAGGAGGAGGAGGAGGAGGAGGAGGAGGGAGGAGGGGGGGGTGGGGGGGAGGAGGAGGGAGGAGGGAGGAGGAGGAGGAGGAGGAGGAGGAGGAGGAGGAGGAGGAGGAGGAGGAGGAGGAGGGAGGAGGAGCAGGCTGAGAGTCGGGCCTGCCCCTCTGGAGGAGGAAACTGCAAAAATAGTCAAACACTAGTCGGGGGACGATGTTTTGAGCACTTGTTTGTTAGTTTGGTGTACTTTTTGGTATTGATGCTCTTTCGCCCAAGATCCCACGGTAGGGGGGCATGCCCGACCTAAAGGTAGGTAGACGATCGAGGTCGGCTCGGGGAGGGTACCCTGGGGGAGGGTTATCCTCGAGTGATCCTTTTTGGGGGGGGGGAGGTGGCCAGCGGATGATCCCATGTTCTTGAAGGGGGTTCTTTTGACTTGGGTCCGACCGTATGTCCTCCACCCGTGTAGCTGGTGCAGAATGCTGTATCGGTGTGGACATATACTCGGGGGAGCTGTCGAAGTTCACTGCAGGGGTTTGCCTATCGCAGGTCGGCTCGAGTGAGGCTTCCGGTGTGCCTGGCGACGTTCGATTCGCACAACGGGGAGCGGAGCTAAATTACTCATCGCTGGTCTACCAGGAAAAACTTGGGGGAGCTATCGGGCGATGCCCCACGTTGACAAGGAACCATCATCCATCCTTGGAAGTGTTCGAACTGTTTAAGGCGAGTGTTCTCTGCGCCACTGCGAGGGCCCCACTTCAAACACCAGCCGCCCCCTCATCCCCGCAGCCGTTTTTGTTGTTTTCAGGTGGGTCTGCGCAGCGCCGAGGCGAGCTCCCCATCTCTAGAACGACTCGCCCTCCACGCGCGCAATCGCTGAATGCTCTTGTCCTCAAGATCGTGAGCGGATGGCGGCATCGCGACACGTAGGAGCCACTCCCAATGAAGTGGGGTGGAGGGGCTTGGGGAGAGGAGGAGGGAGGAGGAGAGGCCTTGGGGGGGTGGGATGGGGGGAGGAGGGGGAGAGGAGGGACTTGGGGGGCTGGGCAATGAGGGGGGGCTTCAGGGGGAGAGGAAGGGCTTGAGGGGGAGGAGGAGGCTGGTGCAATGAGGGGGGAAGGAGGCGCTTGGGGGGGTGGGAGGGGAGATTCGGTCTCTTTACAACCAGAACAACCACTTTACAACCAGATGGGTTACTTTACAACCAACATAGGATTGGAAAGTATGGTTTTTTTTTTCATCGAGCACGTTCACTTTGCAACCAGAACGGCCCACTTTACAACCAGAACGGACCACTTTACAACCAGAACGGGCCACTTTACAACCAGAGCGGACCACTTTACAACCAGTTCAGAGTGGCCGTGCGTGTTTGGGCGTTCCGCAAAGTGCTCCAGAGCAAGTGGGCGCTTTGAAAAATACCCCAGAGCAAGTGGGCGCTCTGAAAAATGCTCCAGAGCAAGTGGGCGCTCTCAAAAGTGCCCCAGGGCGCGCGGACGTTCTGCAAAGTGATCCAGAGCACGTGGGCGCTCTGGAGCCCGAGCGCCTGAATTCTCTGCGCAGGCCCCAGCGATGCCCCTGAGCCCGAGCGCCTGAACGCCCCGCGCAGGCCCCAGCGATGCCTCTGAGCCCGAGGACCTGGACGCTCTGCGCAGGCCCCAGCGATGCCTCTGAGCCCGAGGACCTGGACGCTCTGCGCAGGCCCCAGCGATGCATCTGAGCCCGAGCGCCTGGACGCTCTGAGCAGGCCCCAGCGATGCCTCTGAGCCCGAGCGCCTGGACGCTCTGGCGCTCTGAGCCCAGCAGACTAAGACAGGGCTTGCTAGCAGGGGCCAAGCGGCCTCAACAAGGGCCCCGTGCTCGCACGGGAATAAGGCGACAGCATACGTAGGAAGGCTCAGGGCGACGCGCTGCCCATTTTAGGGATCACTCACAGGAAGCGAGCCCAGTGGCCTCCACAAGGGCCCAGTGCTCCAGGGAACTAGGCCATTGGCACCGCGGGTCTCTTGGGCCACGTTGGCCCCTGAAGCCCCACGGTGTTCTGCAAGGGGCTAAGTGCTCCAGCTCCAGTTGGCCCCCTGCTGCTCCTCGTCTTGGAAGATCGAGGTTCAACGTTCAGAATAAATGCAACTATTTCGAAGATCGTTCCTTCCAGCGTTAGCCACAGTGCCAGCGTAGCAACGCAGGTATCCTGCTCGGGCAGCAGCCTCAGCCACCGTGCCAGCGCAGCAGCTTGAGCCACCGTGACAGCGCATCACCGCCACCTTTGTGTCTGCTACCACCACACTTACCGCTGCAGCCCCGCTACCTCCACAATTCCGACTGACCCCCCGCTACTGCCGCACATCCCATTGCAGCCCAGCTACCACCACAGTTCCCACCGCTGCCTGGCGACCACCACAGTTGCCACCGCAGCTTCCCAACACCATGCAGTTCCCATTGTAGCCCCCGCTACCACCACATCTCCCACTACAGCTTTCCACTGCCATGCAGCTCCAGTCTTGGACGGGATCATGGTTTATTCGTATGTCCTGCGCGACTAGCCTTCGCCCGTCAGAAAAAGGCAGAGCAAGCAATGGCAGAACTGACCGACAGAGCTTAGAAAGCAGGTCAAAACTCTAATCCGCCCACCAGCACGCAACATACCATAGCGCACCAGGTCGCCGCATCGCCAACGCGTGCGCAGTGCTTCTTCGTGCGCGATGGGCAACTTTACAACCAACATGCCTCGACGAGCCCAAAGCCACCCTTGCGCTTGCCCACGGAGATTTCAGGGAAAGGCCCGCGTGCATTCAATATGTGTTTTTACTTGCCTGGTTGTAAAGTGCCCTTCCTGGTTGTAAAGTGCCCTTCTCTGATTTTGTAAGCTGGTTGTAAAGTGACCCATCTGGTTGTAAAGTGCGCTTCTGGTTGTAAAGTGACCCACACGCAGTGGGAGGGGGGTAGGATGGGGAAGGGCCGGGGGGGGACGGGCGGCCCCGCCCGCCGCCACGCCGCTCCCCGAGAGAGGCCAGAGCGCGGATGAGTGGAGCGCCGCGGCCGAGGAGGTCCCCTGCAGCGGACAGGAGTCGCCGAGGGGGAGCAGGAGGAGGAGGAGGAGGAGGAGGAGGAGGAGGAGGAGGGGGAGGAGGAGGAGGAGATAATGAGGAGGAGGAGGAGGAGGAGGGAGGAGGAGGAGGAGGAGGAGGAGGAGGAGGAGGAGGAGAGGAGGAGGAGGGGAGGAGGAGGAGGAAGGAGGAGGGAGGGGTGGGAGAAGGAGGAGGAGAAGGAGGAGGAGGAGGAGGTGGAGGGGAGGAGGAGGAGGAGAGGAGGAGGAGGAGGAGGAGGAGGAGGAGGACCAGTGTAAACCCAAGACTCATCAACGACGTTGGGATACACCCTCTATCCAAGCTCCCTCTTCATAGGCCCCATAGAAGGATTCAGTTCCACTGGGGGAAATGCCCTGCTGGGAGACAACCGTTTGAAAATCTTGAAGCGTGCCAGAGCACCTTTCTCAGGATTTCGGCGCCACGAGTGAACCTGACTGTTGCGTCTTGGCGATCCTCAATTTTGCCAAACATTGCTTTTGGGACTTCAGCACCGCGAATCATCGTAGCTTTCTCGCCCTGCCAATACGGAGCTGTTCGAAAAGACCATGCCGAGAAGGTTAACAATGATAATATCTACAATTCCTGCATTTGTCTAAAACGAATGTGCGCGGCGCCAAGGCGATTTCTACATTTTGAAGTGGAACCGCCCTCAATATGTGAAGCTCTTGAATTTTGAAAATACGAAGGTGCGCGGCGCTGGGGCGAGAACCACATCTTGAAAACCACCCGCCCGCAATCCGAGAAAACCTTGCGCATTTCAGCAACGAGTGTGCACGACGCTTTCCGTAGCCTCTTTGGCGCAAATTTGGTTCAATGGGGGCTGCCATAAGCTGCGCTCCGCGCCGCGCGCGGGCCCCCCGCGCCCTGGTCCCGGCCGCGCCATCGCCCGCGGGCAGCCCCGCCGTCCGGCCGCCCAGCTGGTAGCAGGCACCGATCGTCTGGCGCGACCATGGCCGCTACGGCCGGTGATCCTGATGGGGAGCTCGAGGAGGTATGGGGCCTGGTGGATGCCGCGACGGTGCTGGTTGTGGAAGCCAATCAAGAGGGGACCGTTGGCGACCCACCTGAGCGCACTGACTGTGCGACCCGTCCGGCCCCCCCCTCCTCTTGCGCAGGATCGCTGTCCGCGGATCGTCTGGTGACGAGCGGAGGTCGATCGAGGGAAGTAGCACCTGATAGTGGCACAACCGTGTGCCGTGGAGGAACGCCCCCGGGCTCCCCTGGGCGCCCTCTTGGCGTTGGAACCCCTACCTAGAACGTGAGATTTACATCCGACACGCCGCCCGGCCCAGAGGTACCCAACGGGTGCGCCAGTCGTTTGGGGAACCTGGAAGGGCAGACGGAGCTCGATCCACCTGTCTGCGCAGCACTTAGCCACATGCCTGGTGCGTGCGCAGGTCGCCTATAGCGGCCCTGGGAGAGAGGGACCCCGGGGACCTGGGCACCTGCGCCATGCCTCTTGGGCCCCCCCCCCAGCTCCCAGTGGAAGCCGCGTCGACGAGTCATGCGACGATTCCGCCGCGCCCAGGCGCCATGATCGCCAACCGGCCACCGCAGCTGGCCCACCAGAGCCCGAGGCGGTCAACCAAGACCGATTTTTCGCGACGGGGGGCCGGTGCGGCACAGTTCCGCCAGTCTGCGCGGCAGTTCGCCGTGTGCCTGGATTGATCGATGCCAAGGGTGAGCAGCGCCCGCATGAGAGCGCGGCGGAGCGTCGCGTTTCTGGTGGAGACCTGGAGGATCTGGAGCATAGGCCTTGCGGCGAGTCCGCCCCCCCCCCGACGTTGGCGAACCTGGGTGCCCCCCCCCCCGCCCTGTGGGGCGGCAGCGCTGCCGTTCCAGGCCGCGCTGCCGAACCGGAGGCGTTTCTCTCCGCCAGTCTGCGCGGCAGTTAGCCGCGTCCCTGGTGCGCCGAGTGAGGAGGATAGGGGCCTGAGCTCAACCCGCGCGCCTGGGTCTCGGAGCCTCGGCGTTGCCAACCCAGGCTGCACTGCCACCTCGGGGGGCCACGCGGACGGGTTCCCACCTGTCAGCGCGGCAGTTAGCCGCAGCCCTGGGTGGAACGGCGATCGGGGCACATCCCAAACCTTGATCTCCAGTGGGGATGCGGAGTTTGGGGGCCGCGAAAACGAGCTGTTTGGCACGCCCGCTCCCCTGATGACGCTGCACCTGGCCATGCCCCGCTGCCAGCCCGCGCGGAGCGCGGCGAAGCCAGCCCAGGCTGCGCCAGTGACCCGCGGGCTGGAGATTGCGCGTGCTCACCTGTCGGCGCGGCAGTCAGCCGCGTCCCTGGAACGAGGGGCGGTGGCGCCGCCTGCTGGCACCGCGTGGGCACGGACGACGGCAGGGCTGCGCTCGAGCCTGGGTCCCCAGAAGGCCCACCTGACGATTCAGGTAGTGGGGTCGCCGTGTCAGGCCCTCGGATCAGCTTCCCGCCCCCTGAAGAGGCTCCGCAAGGCCGCGGAGGCACCCCCGCCGGGCCATGGAATGACCCTTGGGGACCAGGATGACGATGCGCCCCAGATCAGGGCGGACGTTGCTCCTGGAACATGCGGGGATGAGCGGGCCATCCCAGCAGATTGCGCCGCCAGTGCCCTGCCGCGGCGCGCAGGCGCGATCGGCGGCGGGAAGCGCGCGCGATCGCCCAGGGGCCGTCCGTGGGAAGCCCGGGCCCGGGCAGCTGCAGGGCGCCGGTGTTGGGCGTGTGCAGGGGCCACCGGTCGAATTCGGCAGCGCGATGAGAGGATCGACCTGGCCGATCCCCCGCCGATCGCGCTCGCATCGGCCGCGGGCATCCGATCGCTCGCGAGCAGGGGGGCCCCTTCCTGCCTGCCCGCGCCCCGACCCCCTGTCACCTGGAGGCGGCCGCGCTCGCAGTGACCCTACTTGATCCCAGTGCCACCTGGGCTCGAGGTAGCGCGGGCAGGCCTCCGCCCGAAGGAGGCCCACGGACTGAAACCTCGGGCGCAAGCCATGCGTGTGGAGGAGGTATTCAGCCCCCCGCGTGCCGCGCAGCGCACGGGCGCCCCCGCGCCAGCGCCGGGATGCCCGGGCTGCGTGGCCCCGCGATCGCCAGGGCTGCCGGGTGCAGCCCCCCGGACGGCAGCGGTATATATCTTGCCCAGGGCGGCGGACCAGGCGGGGCGGGTGCGGGCCATGGTTCGCTACTCCGCGGCGGGACACTGCCGCGCGTGATCCGGGTAGTCGCCTGCCAGGAAAACCGGGCCTGGGCCCGCCCCGCAGTCTGGTCCACTGGCCGCGCGCCGGCCTCTTTCCTGTTGACCCGGCCTCTCTTTCCCGGCTCACGCAGGGCTCGGGCGCGCCCGCGGGGCACGCGGGGCTCGGCCCGGATTCCCGTTGGATCTTCGCAGAGCATCGCGCGGAACTGGCGCGCGCCGCTGCCGCGGAGCCTCCAAGGGGCCAGGAGCACGGCCAGGCCGCGCGAAAAAAGGGGCGCTGCCGCTGCCGAGACCGGCAGCGTGGGCCTTCGACCCCTTGACGAACCGTGCGAGGGTCTCGGGCGGGGGCATCAATGTCCAGAATAGGAGACGCCGTGCTGAATGATGCCAGTGAAGGGCGCGCTCGCTTCCCGAGCTTTCCGTCTCCGCTAGGCTGGGCCCGGCGACGAAGTCAGGCCCCCCGTGGCCGCGCGGGTCCGCGCGCGGCCCACCTCGACCAGGGCGGCGTCGGCAGCGCCGCTGGCGATTGCAGGGTGCCTGCCTGCGCCCTCGGCGAAGGATGCGATAGGGGCCCGCGGCAGGGTGGGCCGAGAGGCGCCCCTCGCGTCGCCGCCCTGGCGGGGGGCTTGTTCGCGCCGGCCCCCGGAGGCGCGCGCTGCGGCACCTGGGCCCCTATAGAGGCCCGACGGCCGCGCGCGCCTGCCTGAGGCTCCGGCGCCCGATCGGGAGCTCGGGCGCTGGGCGTGGAATTGCGCGGCCATTGGGTTCGCCGCTGGAACGACCGGCCCGCGACCTGGGCCTGCTGGGAGCCAGTGTCCTGGCGTGCCTGGCGCGCGCGGCCGCTAAGTGTGCGCCAGTAGCGGGCGGCCTGTGCGACTCGCCAGGGGTGGTCGACTACGCAGCAATCGGCTAATCACCGAGCTCCCGAGAGTTCGGGGGCACGATGTGGATCTGGCCGACGACCCCCTACGTCCGCCCGTCGACCAGGCCGCCCCGGCAGGTTCCAGGCAAGCGGCGGGCTCTGTTCATATGTAGTGCAGGAAGCGAGCGAGGCCTAGCTCGCCCGCCAGCCTCACCGTTCCCTTCCCGCACCTTTGCGGGAGCTCAGCGCCCGCAGGCGCGCCGCCATGGGACGGCGGGGTTCCGCCCTGACCCGCGTCGGACGTCGCCGCGCCGGCCCGCCCGCCCAATAGCGCAGAACACGGCGACTGTTTTGCAGTGTGCACCCCCTCCCCCCCGCGGAGCGTCGAGGTCCTGCTCAGGTTTGCGTAGGGCGTCTGTCAGCTGGACACCCAGCAGCCCACGAAAGTGGCGTGTGCTTCGCAGCTCGCCGCCCCCCAAAAACGGCGAGGTCCTGCTCTGGTTTGGGTAGGACGTCGCTGCGCTGGCCCCCCCCCCCGAGCAGCATGCGATAGCGGCGACAGTTTCGCAGTTCGCAGCCCCTTCAGAGAGAGCGAGCCACGTGGACACCCCCAGGGGCCCTCGAAAGTGGTTGCAGTTTTGCAGTTCGCAGCCTTCCCAGAGGATGGCCAGGTCCCGCGCTGATCTGGGCGGGACGGCACTCAGTTAGATGTCCCAGCAGCCTTCGAAAGCGGCGGCAGTTTCGCATCCCGCAGCCCCCCAAAGATGGCGAGGCCCCATGCTGATCTGGGTTGGACGTCGTTCGGCTGGGCTCCCCAGTAGCTTTCGAAAGTGGCGACGGTTCCTCAGTGCGCAGCACCCCAGGGATGGCGAGGCCCCGCCCTGACTTGATTCGGGTAGGGTGTTATTCAGCTGGGCCCCCTGTCAACCCTCGAAAGCGGCGACAGTTTCGCAGTGCGCAGCCGCCGAGGGATGGCGAGGCCCGCACTGACCTGGGTGGGGTGTCGCTCGGCTGGGCCCCCAAGCAGTCCTCGAAAGTGATGACCGCTTCGCAATTCGCAGCCCCCCAGCGGCGGCGAGTTCCCAGGGAGGACGGCGAAGTAGGAGGCAGGCTGGCAGGCAGGTACGAGCCAGGGGGCAGTAGAGGAGAGGAGGGAAGAGATGAAAAGGGAGGTCGCGACCCCTGCACTCAATTCTGGAAGGTTCGGGTTCGGTCCGGTTCGGTTCGGTTCCGAAGTGCCCCTGGTTCGGTCCAGTTCGGTTCGGTGTCGATGTCTTTCTGGTTCGGTTCGCTTGGGTTCGTACGCAATGCAGGAGTATTGGGAAAAGAGCTGTCCGCCGATGGCGCGTGCTGTCCTCCTCCTCCTCCTCTTCCGTCTGCCTTGGGAGCGGGGCCCAGCGAAGGCTAACCACGCTGCCGATCTGCACGCCAAGGAGGCTCTGAGGTTTCACGAGCCTGTCGGCCCTGAGGCGGCCCACTGGTTGGATGATGAAGTTGAGAGGGCCATTTGCTTTGTAGAACTTGCCGCTGCTGTGATCCTGGTTTTCCAGTCGCGAGCGAAGAGAGAGCGCACGTCTGCGCGTCACCGCTCGGTCAAGCAGTCCCCAGGCTGGCATGAGTGGGAGGAGGGGCCGCTAGGAGTGCAGTGCAGGCATTGTCTGATGGTAACCCACGGGGGTGCACCAAGGGAGGCTCTGGGATGCTCTGGGGACCTGGTTGCGTTCGTCAGGTCGTCCGTCGTTCCCTGGGGCACCTAATTGTTGGTGTGGCTTCTCATGAGATCCACCCCTGAGCCCCAGAACCCTCCGAAGCTGAGCAAAACCGTTTGCAGTTTTTGTGTGTTCGATGTGGTTGCTGGGCCCGACGGTGTTCGCGTAACCTCGATAAGGTCTGCCAGACACCCGCGAGGAAAGGCCGAGAGGTGCTAACAAGCACTGCCGAGGCCTTGGGCCCCGGCAGTCGCGTCCGTCACTTCACTGGTAGAGTAGAGCCGCCGCGGTCTCAGCGTTGCCTGTTGCCCCGAAGCTGCGCAGTAAGACTCCTGCTCTCCGCCTTGCCGCGGTGCGAGGAGGATGAGGCTCCTCTGATTCCGAACCGCCCTGAGGGCTCGGGGTCGGGGTCAGACTAATGCCTGGGGGACTGGCGAGTGGCCAAGGGACATCCTCCCTCCTTGGGAAATGAGTCCGTGGTCGCTTGCTGGTCCCTCTTCTGGCGTTAGGTTCAGAAGGGCTGCCCAGGCAGCCGCTTTCAAACAGGTCAGGCCGCCGTGGCCCCCCCCCCCCCCCCCAAAAAAAAGTAAGACTCCTGCTCGTACGCCTGTCCCATCCGCCCTCTCCAGTGCCCCTGCCGTCTCTGAGTACGAGAGACAAGGGCTCCCTCGAGGGCGCGAAGTTATTCGCGCTTCGCGCTTCGCGGTCCTCGTTCCTTCTCCTCCTCCTCCTCGTCCTCCTCTTCTCTCCCCCTTGGGAGGGCGGCGCGAGGGCGCGAAGTTATCCGCGCTTCGCGCTTCGCGCAGCGCGAAGCGCGAAGTTGGGAGCCCTTGGAGAGACGGCAGGCCGCTCTCGCGGAGCGAGTGCGTGCCAAGGAGGCACACGGGGCGGAGGCATAGCTTCGGTCGCCGGCACCTCGTCGCGGGCCCCGGTCACAGCGTGGGGAGCTCGGTCCTCCAGGGGTGCCGCGGACCCCCCATGTCTCAGACTTGCGAGTCTCCTCCCCTCGGGGCTGTCCTAGTCTTGCCTCCTCCTCCTCTTCCTCCTCTTCCTCCTCCTCCTCCTCCTCCTCCTCCTCTTCCTCCTCCTCCTCCCCCTCCTCGTCCTCCTCTTCTCCCCCCCAACCTCCCCTCATCTTCCCTTTCTCCCCCACTCCTTTCGCTGGCCGTGCCCCGCCCGCAATGCAAAGTGTCGACACGGGCCTCCGAGGCCCTTTTGCATCCTTATCGTGGGTCCTTCTTGTAGGGTTAGACTGTGCTCTTCTCCTCCCCCCTCCCGCTGCCGAGGACGCTGCCGCCTCTTCGCCCCTGCCTCTCCCTCCTCCCCTCCTCCGCCCGTTTCCGGCCCCAGGCTCTCTCGCGCTCCCCTCTTCGCTTGCCATAGGTCGGGCCTGTTCCTCTACAGGGGAAATAGTAAAACATAGTCCAAGAATCGTAGGGGGACGATGTTTTGAGTATTTTTGGTCCTTTTGCAATATTACTTTGGTGTTTTTTCCGTCGAAATTACCCCTGTAGGGGGACACGCCCGACTTAACGCTTGCCTGCCCTTTTCTGAGTACAGTCGGGCCGAGGTATAAGATCGAGGTCGGCTCGGGAGGTGTGCCCTGATGTCCTTCGTGCTCGTTGGGTGTACTTGTGCATCAAGGGGGGGCAGGGGATCCTCGAGTGATTTTATGGCTCGGGGTGCTTTGGCTGGCGGAGGGTCCAATGCTCTCGAAGGATGTTTTTTTTTCTCTCCCATGCCCGACCGCACAGTCAACACTGATATCCAACAACAACAGCAACAACAACAACAACAACAACAACGGCATAAGCATAACTCGTCGACGTCCCGCGCGTATCTCTTGGATCTGCGCTGGAGCCCCGTGGCGGCGCCTTTGGCGCCGCCCCCTTGGCGCGCTCCGCGCGCCGGGGAGGGGGGGGGGATCCGGCGCAGATCCAAGACATCCGCGCGGACCGTCGAGAGATCTTGTGCTTCTGCCGCTGCCCTTTCCAAGGGCTCCCTCGAGGGCGCGAAGTTATTCGCGCTTCGCGGTCCTCGTTCCTCCTCCTCCTCCTCCTCGTCCTCCTCTTCTCCCTTTGGGGGGGCGGCGCGAGGGCGCGAAGTTATTCGCACTTCGCGCTTCGCGCGGCGCGAAGCGCGAACTTAGGAGCCCTTGCTGATGGTGAAGTGGAGCGGCCTTCCAAAGTTTCCCTGGCACTATGTCGGGCTTGTCCCCCTACAGGGGGATCTTCGACGAAAAACCAAACATACCCCAGACACAGTAAAAACATAATCCAGACATGGTCTGGGGATTTTTGTTGTTTGACCTTTTTGGGGTATGGTTGGGGTATGTTTTATTTTTTGGCGAAAATCCCCCTGTAGGGGGACACGCCCGACATAACCGTAGCATCCTTTCTTTTCGGCCCATCCTTGGCCACGTTTGTTGCCCGCGCCCGCTCGAAAAGTGTCGGCGGCCTTTCCAGGCCCTTGCACCCTTGCCGCGCATTCATACTTTCAATATTGACTGTACGATCTCTCTCGACGTCGATTTTACTCTCACTCTCACTCTACACGATGCTTTTACGCACCGTGGCGGGATAGGGGAACGCCTCTTGTCAGCAGCCCGCCGTGGCCTGAAACAGCGAATCTGGCACTTAGCTGCCTCGACACGCACGTTTTGATACGCTACACGTGCCGTGCTCAAAACGTCCGTGCCAACACGTTGCGTGCTGGCTCAAAATATCGACCCACGTTTTGGCGAAAGCATCGCGTCAGACCCACGTTTTCATGTTGGGCTCCGTATCCATACGCTACGTGTTGCGTGTTGTGCATCGGGGCGGCTAAGATCTGGCACCAGCCTTCGCTGGCTCGACGCTTCCGACGCTGACCACTTGGTCATCGCCCTGGAAGGATCAGGTTGGGAGCACCTGCTGCGCCACCTAGGACTCCTCCTCCTCCTCCTCCTTCCCCTTCTCCTCCTCCTCCTCCTCCTCCTCCCTCCTCCTCCTCTCTCCTCCTCCTCCTCCTCCTCCTCCCTCCTCCTCCTCCTCCTCCTCCCCTCCTCCTCCTCCTCCTCCTCCTCCTCCTCCTCCTCCTCCTCCTCCTCCTCCTCCTCCTCCTCCTCCTCCTCCTCCTCCCCCTTCCCCTTCTCCTCGTTCCCGGGCAAGCCTTTGTCCCTGGTTCGGACTGGCTGTGGCTCCGGCTGTGGGGGCCCTCTTCACCCGCAGTCTGTCTACCTCGCGCGGGAGCTCGCACACCACGAGTGGCTCGTCGTAGTGCTGCTTGCCGTAGTTCTGCTCGACTCGGCCCGTCACCGTTCCGCCGCCGCCGCCGCCTCTTCCTCCTACTTTGCAATGCGGCCCAATGTCGCTCCCGCGACGTGTCTTCCTCCTCCTCCTCCTCCTCCTCCTCCTCCTCCTCCTCCTCCTCCTCCTCCTCCGCGCGCTTCCTGGGCAAGCCTGCCGCCTCGCCTCGGCCCTTCGCCGACAGGACGAGGAGGGGGAGCCAGAGGCCCTCGTCACCGCCGCGTCCGGCACAGGCAAGGACGACCTGCTCCCGGGCATCTGCGAGAGGGCCGTGGCGTCCCCGACGCCCGAGAAGGCACCAGCGCGCGAGGGGGAGCTGGAGGGTCGGGGATGAAATTGTCAATGACGCGCCTCCGTTGGGGCTCCTTCGGCTTGTTGCTCCTACGCTTGTGTCCGAAGCCCTGATGGGTCTTCAGCAGTAACGCGCTGACGGGTTCCACACGGCGGTGTGTCATCGATTCCGAATCGAGGATTTTTTCCAGGACCGCTGCCTGGGGGATTGATCTTCGAGGACCTCGCCGTGGACATGGAGCATTTTTTGCCCCCTGGGGTAAGCATGCTTCCATATCCACCGCCCCCTCGGGTCCCAGGACGTCGATTCCCCAGACGGTGGATCTGGTTACATCTCCGTCTCGCGTTGATATTGTTTTTGCCCACTGCGGACGGGAGGCTGTCGAAGGATCGGTGGATGCGGAGATGCGCTTCGATACTCTGGAACCCCTGCAGCTTCGATTCGAGCAGCACTGGTGATCGACGCCCTTGCTCTGCCACCAGTCCGTGGGAGAGTGAAGGTGTCCACCACTGCTAGGCCTTCGCAGGCCTCGATCCAGAACTGGCCTGTGGAAGATTTCGGAATGGTGGGTACTTCCCATGTCCTCAGCAAGAAGAGGAGGGGGGAGACGGGGGGTGACGATTGTGAAGGCGGGGGGTGACGATGAGGAGAGCAGGAGGAGATGAGGTGCCGATGAGGTGAAGGCGCGGGATGGCGAGGAGGAGAGTCGTTGGAGAAGGAGGAGGAGGAGGTGGAGGAGGAGGAGGAGGAGGATGTCGAGGAGGCCGAAGGGGAGGACGAAGGGGAGGAGGAAGAGGAGGAGGAGGAGGAGGAGGAGCAGGATTAGGAATAGGGCCGTCGCATGGCTCAAAAAGTTCGGTTGATCCAGCCTCCCGCCCCGAGCTTTGCTGCCTCGGGGCGGGGTCGAGGTGGAAGGATAGCGGCAGGAGGTGATGGAGGAGGAGACCGATGACGGTGACGATGACGATAATGATGATGACGATGATGATGATGGTGATAATGGTTACGATGTTGATGATGATGTTGATGATGTTAATTATAATAATGACGATGTTGGCGATGCTGATGATGATGTTGATGCTGATGCCGATGCTGTTGATGCTGATGCTGATGCTGATGACGGTACAGATATGGATGATATGGATGATGTTGATGATGATTATGTTGATGATGTTAATATTTTTAATGATGATGGTGTTGATGATGCTGACGATGATGATGATGCTGATGATGATGTTGATGATGCTGGTGATGGTGATGGTGCTTGTGATGGCGGCGATGATGACGCTGCTGATGCTAATGATGATTGAGGTTTGTGATGTTGATTATGAGTTTACGTTTGGTGTGACGACTAAGGTGATGTTGATGCTGATGATGATGACGATGCTGCTGATGATGTTGACGACGACGACGACGATGATGATGATGATGATGTTGATGATGATGATTTCGATGATGATGATGATGATGATGATGCTGATGCTGATGCTGATGCTGATGATGATGATGATTGATGATTGATGATGATGATGATGATGATGATGATGATGATGATGATGATGATGATGATGATGATGATGATGATGATGATGATGATGATGATGATGATGATGATGATGATGATGATGATGATGATGATGATGACGACGAAGGTTCTCGTGATTTCACGCTTTTCCGATGCTCTTTGTGGTCCGCAGCTGTCTGTGTCGCTCAAGTCTTGAGTATCTGGGACAGGCTCACCGACCGCGTAGTTTCGGCCACTGTCTCGTACCTCACACGCTGTCCCGCAGTGCCGTCGTGCCCTGCATGCCCTGTGTGCTCCCTGGCCTGTCCGCCGCAGGTCAGCTGCCCATCCTGTTCGCTGGTCTGTCCCGTGGCGCCGGCGTGCCCAGAGGTGCCCGCGGCCACCTGCTCCGCCCCAGCGCCCTGTCCCGAGGCGGTGTGCCTCGCCTGTGCCCCTTGCGCGGCCGCGGCGTCCGCGGCCTCGCCCGACGGGCCTGGGCCGGCGCCGGCTGGGGGTACCCCGGCCGAGTCGGGGGGAGGTGCCTCGGCAGGGGTGGGTGCGGACGCTCGCGCGTTCGCAGTGGGGCTGCTCGGCGGAGTGCTGGGCTGCCTGCTGACGGTCGCCTGTGTGGGCTGTGCGGGCTCGGCGCTGCGGCGGGACGATGCGTTCGGGCGGCTGACCGAACAGTTGCACAAACTGTCACCCGCTCGGCGCCGGCATGCCGTCGCCTGCTGCCGAAGGCTGGTCGCGTCCATGTTCGGCCTGCCCTCGCCATCGGATCCAGTCTGCCCGATCCACCAGTGATGCTGGATCTTGTTTCGGGCGAGGGCTGTCTGGGCCGTGCGTTCGTTGATTTAGGTATGCGGGTCCTGTTGCGGGACACGACTTTGGGAGAGCAGTGCGATCTCTCGAGACTTGCCCACAAGTCCCTAACCGTGAGGTAGACGCGCGCGGGTCGTGTGCGAGGCTGGCATGCTGCTGTCCACTGTAACGCCTTCACGCGTTGCCGCGACCAAGGAGTGCGCGCCCCGCCCGTCCGCTGTGACTCATCTCCTCGGCCTCCCTCACTTCAAATCCCACCTTCAGGCTCTTGTTGAAGAGTCGAATTCGCTGAACAGTTTTATTGCCACATCCACTTGTATTTCCATCGCGAGGTGCATACCATGGTCTGTCGAAAATCCCAAGACCTCGATGCTCTGGCTTCTCCCTAGGTTCAACATTTTGCCTAGACGCAAAGGTGTCATGTTTTTAATCACATCCATGTGCTAGTGGGGGACCCATTGGCGAAAGGAGACCGGCCTCGTGATGTCCGATCTCGAGCCTGGTGCTCTCAGGGATTCAGTGTGCTGTGGCTCTCGTTGTGAATAGAACCCGTAGCATACCCTCATATATACTCCTTATCCTCACCTCTCCTGCGCCTGGCCGTTTGGGCTCAGGTATTGGACTAGATCGATCAGACCTTTGATCGTGCAGGAGGAAAAGATATCCATCTTTCCCTCCTTTCCTCTACCAGCGGATCAGGGGTTCTGTACCTTTGTATTCTAACCCCATACACAGGTTATCAGCCCTTTAAAGCTCACAGTTCATCGAGCCCCGCGTCGCGATCTCGCACGCGGCCTCGATGGAACCCAAGCGGCGCATGCGCCGTAAGGGGTCCATCGGGACCTCGCGTCCGAGCTCTCCGACGGCGCGACGGCTCGGTGATGAGTTGGAGAGCCTTTGTGTGGACCGTGCAGGTGTCCCAGGTACCCCCCCCCCCAGCTCCGACGGACCCGAGGCGCGGCTAGCTGCTGAACTTCACCGCCGCGCCGCCCGCGGGGGGACAGGAGAAGGAGTAGGAGCAGGCAGTAGAGAATTTCACACGCCTACCTTCGATCCTCCATCGCCTCCTCCGTCGGGAGCAATCCCAACTGCGTCGGGCGCAAGCCCCGCTGGTCCTGATACTCCAGGGCGCTTTCGCGCTAACCGCCGATGGGCCACAGGTGCTGGCATGACTAGCCCTGCGACCGTTCCTGCAGCGGAGCACGTAGCCACCTTCGATGAACTCAGCAGACCAGTGGCGGCACAGCCGCAGACGCAGAACCCCCAGGTATCATCTCATGAGACACCACGCACGCACGGCCCTAGCCGCAGCTCGTCCTTGCGCAACCGTCGCGGGGCCACAGGCCCATGCGACGAGAGAAGGTCGAGCCCGCGTGCTGCCTCGCAGAGGCCATGCACTCCTCGCGAGAGGGTGCAGAGGGAAGCTGACGCTCCCCACCTCTCCATCTCAGACGACCTGCCGGCGGTAACGTCCGCTGCAGGCGAAATAGCTGAGCTCAGAGACCAGGTTGAAACCTTCGTGTCCAGGCAGTACTCTGGACTGATGCAGAGCGTTCAGACGAACGCTGCCAACGCTGCTGCTCTACGCCAAGATCTCGACGGCGCCTTAGTGATCATCGATTCTAGGATCGCTGAAGATCACCGCATCTTTGGTGAGCTGCAGTGCCAGGTTGACCGTGAGATGTCACACTCAGGTGAACGATCGGCGACGGTCGAGAACCTGCGCAACTACCTTGCGCAGATGGAGCAACAGCTTGTGATCGTACGCGACACAGGCGTTTCAGCCGTCAGGATCCTCCACGGCGAGATCCACGACCAGCTCCGCAACCGACCGCCACCAGCCGAGGCCACCGACCTTGGCGACGTTCAGTCTCAGATCAACGATCTTCGCTCCCAAATGGACCACACTACGGCGACGCCTCGCACCGAAGCACACGCCAACTCGTCGAACCTGATCGGCATGTTGCAAAATACTGAGAGAGGTATCACTCAAAGGCTTGATGCGACCAACGCTGTCGTGCCGCCACTCGCTAACCGGATCTCTGGCATCGAGCAGCGTTTTCCGGGTGTACAGGACGCCCTGGCAGAGCTGCGTGTCGGACGAGCCCAGACTGGCCAGCTGGATTCTCCTCCCACGGCTTGCGATTTCGCCCGCCTCACTGACAGGTTGCAGGAGGTTGAGGAGGCGGCGGACCACACGCAGTCTGAGCTCTCCCAGGTCATTCGTGAGAGAGATACTGACAAGGTACGTGTCGAGGAGCACCTCGCACGTCTGGACAGTGAGTTGGAGGCGCACAACGCCCGTCTCCGAGCCTACGAGCAACGACTTGACCTGTATTCACAACGCTCTCGCGATACTGCTGAGTACACACGCCAAAAGGTGGACCATATACACGAAGATATGACGAGCTGGACAAATCAGCTGATTGACCACACCAACGACGCAATACTTCACCTTCAACCTGCAACCGACCTGCACAGGCCGACGGCAGCGTCCGCTGAAGCACCACACGCTTCTGCAGGACAACAACGACGTACGTCACCAGGAGCAGCCTCCGCGGCAGCTTCAGCACAGACACGCCACGTGTCTCCTGTGCGCACACAACCAACTACCGACGGTGTACCGATACCCTCACAACCATTGTCTGTGGTTTCGGTCAACACTGCTACTCCGATC